AACCATTACACAATGTAATAATTTTCACAATTTCCGCAGACATTTTCAGCAGAAGAATTCCATTGCACGTGATCTCCGCATAAACGAAGGCTCGATCATTGAGACTTGTGGCCGAGGTACCATTGATGAAAAGAGGAAGGTATCCATCTTAATTTATTGGAAGTTAGAAAAGAACTGGGCGAAGCGTGAAATTGTTTTAAAACGGATTCTCGAGGCGTTCCCGGGCAATTACGGTTCGTTTTTCAGATTTCTAGCGTAATCTGATGTCAAGTGCTCGGTCTGATTCTGATTTATGGCCCGACCTCGTTTCTTTAGCAGCAAAGTAAACGCGATTCGATTCTCGGTCGTTTTCCGCTCCAAGAATTTCCACCCATACGTAAACAATCGAAAATTGTTATTTTCGTGTAATAGTCATCGTTATATGAAACCGTATTTCTCCATGGGACGTCGCACCGCGGGCTACTTCCAACGAAAAAGCGGACAAAAATCATTTTAAACAAGTATTCCCATAATGAAAAATCTATTCACCAACAGTTAATTGGACAAACGTTTTCTAATTTTGCGAAACCGACCTTTTTGCAATTTGAATTCCAAATATTGATGTATTTTCACACGAATAAAAGTTGCTCTCTATAATTGTATATAAAAAAACGCGTTACGAGAATGGAAATTCTTATAACTTAAGAGTTTAATCTTTATACCATCGAAAATATCCAATTAAGGTTAAAATTAATGAATAAAATTTCAATTTGTTACATTCACGATATAATCGTAAGTAAACCTAAAATAACCAATTTTGATCCGATCATTTCGTGCCTAAAAGAAACCAAATCTATGTCCCGTCTGTATCATATAAGAAAATAAGACACAAATATATGATTTTAAACGAAAAATACTGGTTTCCGCGTTCTGGGAACAGATAACCCACTATGCATCGTATTTTAAGCCGCAACGGTCCCCGGAGTAGAATCAACTTGGTAAGGCGAAACTCTCCGAAACTGATCTTGTACACCCGATCCCTGCGCTATCTCTCGATACGTTTAAACTTATGCTTTGCCCGCAGTGCACCCTCTTACCATTTGTATCGCGCTTCTTTTGATCATTGCCAGATATCCGAAATTCTCTGTTCTTATATCGCCAGTTCCGCCGCGATGGGAAACATAATCTGCGGCGAGCTGATCGATCGATACGACTCTGTATCGAAGACCTCAAAATTTCAATGTGACACGCGCTATCAAGTGACATATTTTAGCAATTTTAGACAGCTGCAAATCGAACTGAACTTTTTTTTAGATTTTGGATGGACCAGTTTATAATAATTTAATCTTTTAACCCTTTCGCTACGGGCGGGTTCTCCACCGCGGTACTTCCGCTGAACGGAGCGCCGCGACATCACTGCTGTCTCTTATACACATCTAGATGTGTATAAGAGACAGCTATAGTGGCCTTTCGTATGATGCCACTGAGGTACTACGGGCCACTATAGTGGCCTTTCGTATGATGCCACTGAGGTACTACGGGCCACTATAGTGGCCTTTCGTATGATGCCACTGAGGTACTACGGGCCACTATAGTGGCCTTTCGTATGATGCCACTGAGGTACTACGGGCCACTATAGTGGCCTTTCGTATGATGCCACTGAGGTACTACGGGCCACTATAGTGGCCTTTCGTATGATGCCACTGAGGTACTACGGGCCACTATAGTGGCCTTTCGTATGATGCCACTGAGGTACTACGGGCCACTATAGTGGCCTTTCGTATGATGCCACTGAGGTACTACGGGCCACTATAGTGGCCTTTCGTATGATGCCACTGAGGTACTACGGGCCACTATAGTGGCCTTTCGTATGATGCCACTGAGGTACTACGGGCCACTATAGTGGCCTTTCGTATGATGCCACTGAGGTACTACGGGCCACTATAGTGGCCTTTCGTATGATGCCACTGAGGTACTACGGGCCACTATAGTGGCCTTTCGTATGATGCCACTGAGGTACTACGGGCCACTATAGTGGCCTTTCGTATGATGCCACTGAGGTACTACGGGCCACTATAGTGGCCTTTCGTATGATGCCACTGAGGTACTACGGGCCACTATAGTGGCCTTTCGTATGATGCCACTGAGGTACTACGGGCCACTATAGTGGCCCTCCATAAGATCTGTCTCTTATACACATCTAGATGTGTATAAGAGACAGATCTTATGGAGGGCCACTATAGTGGCCCGTAGTAGCGAAAGGGTTTAATAAGACTTTTCTATCTGAGCTTCTAACAGAAATTTAAAGGTTGCATTTGTCTAATTTTAAACAAGCTGTTCCGTCTCGAAACGTGTGCGCAGACTTTTTCTATCAAGTGTGTATGCATATTTATGATTGCAAACGTGAAATAGTGGCTAAGTATCTGTAAAAGCACCGAAAACTTTAATTTAAACGATTGAAGTAAAACTAATACAATATAATTGTTAATTACACAATTATTTGTCCTTGCTCTTATTGGATTATTTTCTCTCTTTTGAATACTCAGAAGTTTTTCCTTCTAGCATATAAGTTACAAAAACGAATCGACGCCGAGAGTCTCGCCAGAGAACCATTAGATAAACAATGATTTCATATGTATATAGAACAGAGTGCTCTTTGTCTTTAGGTGACGTTTTTGGTTTCGTCTTTGTGAATAGTCTTCAGTCTCCTGGAGCAATCAGGAGAGTAAAGACGGTCCTTCCTCGTACATCAAATTAATAAACTAAAAGGGATAAGTTTAATTCACTGCGTTTTACTTTTATTTATCTACCCATTTCCAATAGCTCTTCTAATTCTGAAAATAATTTGTAAGAAAAGTGGACGCTCAACACATTGAATGATCGAGCAATTTTTAATTTTTCCTTCGGTTGATGATAGAAACCGATTGTTGCTTCGCCGAGTAACATCGACGTCGGCGCTACAAAATCAGAATCGAAATATTCAATCGCAGAATCGGAGAACAAAGTTTATTAATATCGAAAGGGAAGAAATGATTTCCAGAAATAAGGGAGACAGACTTTCTCCTTAAATCGTCACTTCCGTCAACCTCATTAAATTGTTGTACCTTTATATCACTTCTCTCTACCAATATACAGACGAGACCCTCATTTTCACTTCAGACACGTTAATTGAGTCAGCACACTTCGGGCGTTTTTTCTTTTTCCATTGAAAGTTTGCTACCCTATAAGCAGTCGCGTATGCCCTAATGAAAAAAGTTTCGAATCCCTTCGACCCGGAGGGTGCATTAGCATTAACATGCAGGCACGACGCGATCGAGATATTTGCACCCTATTTAAGCCCTTTGTCTGTCTCTAATCACGTGTTCAGCGGAATTCCCGAAGACCTTTCTCTTAATAAATCAATCCGAGCGATGATTACGCTCGAAACAGATTATCTAGTTAAACAAAACCTGTATTTTCTGGTATTTATTTTGTCGAAAAGGATTGTTTCAAATTCCGTCAAAAAAAAGATCATATCTTTCAGAAAAAGATACGAAGTTTTTGCTATTTATTTAAAAATCTGACTTCAGATGCACCAACCTAATAGAATTGAATCGTTCGTAAAAGCTGAAGAACGTATATACTGTCTCAAAAAATAATGCCGAAAATTAATTATAAATAAAAGTTCGTTTCCGTTTACTTATTATTTAAAATCCAGGCCTCGACCGTAGGCCCTTTGTCGTTCGTCGTTCGGCCGTCCGAGAAAATGACACCCGATACCATTTTCTTCGAAAACGGCCGTAAATTAGATTCGAAGAGCGCAGGGTACCGTCGGTGACAGCGGGTCGGCCGCAGTTTACGTCTCTGCATATCTTGTTTATTTAATATGGCGGTACCCTGCGCTTCGAAGAAAATGGTATCGGGTGTTATTTCCTCGAACGACGAACGACAAGGGCCCACGGTCGAGGCCTGGATTTTTTGGCAGTGAAACGTCGACTGCCGAACGCTTCTCAGTGATCTTTCTTAATATCCACAGGTGATTCGGATTATCAGTGATTAATTACGTGATTAGTGTTAATAATAAGTTGAGTGTCAATGTTGCGGTCATCGACCTGGGATCAGCTGTTCGTTGCACGAGGTCAGTGCGTACGAGTCAGCAAATGCATCCTCAACTATATATATATATATAAATAATATAAATATTATATAATATATTATATATTAATATATATTATTAATATAAATATATTATATATATAATATATAATATATTTCTTCATATTATATATATATATTTTTTCATATTTCCCTAATAAACAAATCCTTTATGTCCCTTAACGCGATTATTTATTATTAAATCAGCTTTGCGAATCATTCGTTGAATTCTGTTCGGAATTATTTAAATTAAAATATCATTTACGAACTTTGTTAATCTTCACTGTACACCTTGCATAAAAATTTCATATGGTACACATGAGGTGTCATGCACACCAGAAAATTAAAACGGCTGTCACGGTTAAACTACATATTATTTCGGGTCCGAGAAATTAGTAAATATTCTTCAGACGTTCTAAAGTAAAGGTGAACAGCGTTTTTCTTAAAAATATCACTGTTACGTAGTAAAAATAATCCGGAAAGTTCACGCTTCGTGACTTGTTCAATACTGCGGGCTCTCGAACTTCGCGCCGTCACCTCTCATTGGTCAGTGTTTTTCGTTAATAACTCGTAAACAAAGTCGCAGATTGCATCTTCGCAAAGGAAAAAGTTACTTCAAATGACCTCAGCTACCCCTCATTTTCGGCTGTTAAAATAATTGTGGACCACCCCTATACACAAGAAAAAAATTGTATTATTAGAAATGTTCTTACTCAAAATGATTACTATCGTTACCGCCGCGAACAATTTCTAAATGCACAAAATCTAACTAAGTCAGTTTCCTAAGCCAACTCCAGTCTCCGCGTCAAACAACTCTCAATTAATCAACATCCAAGAGCCCACTTCACGGCCGCCTAATTACACATTAATCTCTGCCAATTAGGTCCGAAGAACCATCAAATCCGATACACGACAACTTCATTAATGGCGGATTAACAGATCCGACACTGAGCTAAGGAAAAACGATGTACTCTCCTCGGATCATAAACACAGGTACGGCATCGGATCATTAATCAATGCCGGCGGTGTACCGGGGCCGAAAGAGACTCGGAAGAGCCGCGCAACAGGCTAACAAAACTCTCCGAAGATGGATCTTTATCAGCCGAAAAGGATGCCGGAAGCTTCTGGTTTCCCGGCTTTCCATTCGATGCTCCGAATGATCGCGACACAACTCGTCGACGGTAATTTCCTGTTTAAGAAGACAAATGTTCCGCCGTTTTACAAATGTTTCCGAGCTCGGTTAAGTTCTCGGCCCCTTTGCTTTTAATTTCGTTCACCCATAAACGCGCCGGCCCTTTCTTAAACCTACGGGAGCACTTCGCTCGGATGTCGTGTTATTTATGTCACTCGTCTAAGCTTTAGAGTTCAGGCTACGCGCCCAGCGACGCTTTTCTAGATCAACGTGAAAATGTGACTGCACTTTGTGGCGATAACTTGAACGCTAGGATTTTCATCGTTTCCGAGAAAAGTGCATGAAAATTAGAGGTTCTGGCTTTCGACGTGTATTGCAGATACACGCGCGGTTAATATACTTATGTTCTATAATAGGAATACGTAATCGTTTATTGGAAGCCATCTTAATATACACTGCTCAAAACAATTATGGCATAGACAAATTTTTCATAAAAATTGGCCAACTTTGACTGGCGATAACTCCGCGAGAAATCGTCGTAGGACGATGACCAGTTTTTTAAATTAAAGGGCAAGGATTGAATTTTATTCAACTGCAAACGGCAGCTCCGAAGAAAATTTTACAAAGTCCATGCATTTCGTCGAATTTGGCTATTGTCAATATGACAATCATGGTCTCATATTTAAAGGGTTACAGTGTCGAGGGTGCGTCAAACTTAACATCCATAAATATTACTTTAAAGTAGAGGTTTCAAGCTTTAATTTAAAAAAGAAGTCATCATCCTACGATGATTTGTCGTGGAGTTATCGTCAGTCAAATTTAGTCAATTTTTATGAAAAATTTGTCTACGCTATAATTGTTTTGAGCAGTATATTTGTGTCTGCTATATAGATATGATTTATCAGGTTCCAGAAGAAAACAAAGTCAGAAACAAAACACTAAAGTATATTTTCTGAAAATACTTTTATTAATAATCATATTAAATCTTATCGAATTTTCTATAGATGTGAAGATATACATATATATAAATAATATTATATCTATATAATAATATATATATATATAAATATTATTATATTATTATATATATATATAATTATTATATATATATATATATATATAATATTATTATAATATATATTATATATAATATTGTTGCAGTTGATGCACTTTTTAATTCTAATGTATCTGCTCTGCATAAACGTGCCTTTTCTATGAGATTTTAATAAGACGATTCCGGTGAAAATTTCTATAACATCAATTTCATTTGTTCGAAGCATTCTATGGCACTTTCGTTCGAACTTCGTTGAATTATGCTTTGGATTGAATTAAGTTCCTCGAGAAATAATAACGACTCGCTTATCAAATTTTTAGCGCATTCTACGCTGTCCATACTTTTTGATGGAAAAGCTAAGCCTAAATTTCTATACAGCGATGCAGTCCTTGCAGAATTCAATAACTGTTGTTTAAAACGGTTTCCCAACTTGTGCCTTCGTCGAAAGTTATAACAGTTTGAATGTCCACGTTGTAGCATGACTCAAACCATTATAACTTTTGCTGCGTGTGAAATTTTTGGGAACGCCAGAAACAGAAGTTACTAAATTTTGCAAGAGTTGTGAAAATGTATAAAAATTGACAGCGTCGATCTATGTAAAAGATGTCAAGTTAACGCTGAAATATTCTTCAGAACTTCTTTAAACTTCTTTTGATCCGAAGCACTTCGCATCATTTTAATAAAAAGAGGTAAATAATACCTACAGTTTCTGTCACCTTTCCCCATCGAAATATCAAGCTCTCTTTAAAAAAAAAAGAATTCACGATACCAGAGCAACGTTTCAAGCTTCCATTCAACAGCTGATCGATTTTTAAATCTACGATCGTAGAAATGATTACCTGCTTCAACAATTCAACGGTTAAATCAGTTAATGCTTCCTATTTAAATTCTGCATTAAATAAGCTTCCGTTTAAGTATACGTAAGCTCACTTTCGATGACTGCACTCTGCGGATGTACAGTTTCAGAATAACAAAACTTGTGGAAGCTCCGCGAACTTACTTGGTACCCTTTAGTTTCGTGCTTTGCGAAGAAAATGATTTCTTAGAAGAGATGATACTCTCTAATGTATTAAATAATGTCCATACTAATTATTTTCTAATGTTAATAACAATAATAAAAATAGTTAATTTATCGATTTATCGATTGATTTAACGAATAATTTTTCTTTGGATAAAATTATATTTGAATAACGTTTCGAATGTATCCTACGAATAAATTTCTTTATCCTACGAATAAGTTCGACTAATATTTCAAATAAAATTTTATCGGAATAACGTACCGAATTAATTCAACGAATACAATTTTATTTGAATAACATATCGAGTAACGTTTCGAATAAATTCAACGAATAAAATTTTATTTTATAATATAATAAATATAATACAATATAATATAATATAATATAATAATATAATATAATATTATTATTATAGTATTATTATTATAATATTAATATATAATATATTATTATTATAATATTAATATATATAATATATTATTAATATAATATTAATATTATTATAATATAATATAATAAGTATAATAAATATATTATACGTAGGTTTTTAAATAGGTATTTATGACGCACCAAAAAATGTCAAACAAGTGACTCGTTTGAGATGAAGAAAGCCGATGTTCCCAATGATCCGTGATACAGTTCTACGTTACCAGACTAGAGGAACACACTATAGACTGTAGAAGAAGAAGAAGAAGAAGAAGCTGTCCAGTAACCGAGAAAAAAGGGGAACCGAGTCGTTCAGAGTTTATTCCTCCGTCGGGAGAAACAAAGCTCCTGTGTGCTTGCAAGCCACCAGGGTGCTCGCCGAAGCTTTTGATGTATCGCGAAAATCTCGCGGAAGATCGATATCGCGAATGCCACGGACGAATCTGGCTGAAAGTAATTCGCGGCGATGTTCCTGTCGCGCGGGAGGTGGGAAACTTAGATTGACCTTTCTGCGAGTTCAGCAGATTTTTAAATTAATATTTAGTGAATTCAACTTAGATTAACCCGCTTGCTCTGTTCAGCAAATTCTTGAATTAGTACTCTGGGAATTCGAGTCGACCGAAGTTGCGGGAAATTCGAGGGAAGAAACTTCTACGCCACGATTGTCATACACGTATAGGGTGTCTCCGAATTGTTGGCGCGAAGAGCGAATCTGCGTGAAATAATTGTCACGTATAGGATTTATTTTTGGAATTTCTTTTGGAATCTGACTGATCGAAAAATGCGAACATTCGCACTAAATTAGTAATTCCGGTCATTATTTTACTCCAATTGTGAATAAATTGATGCTACATTGTTTATTATTCAACTTTTTATATTTTATGACTCTTGAATATTTATGTCTGTTACAAGTGTCTCAAATTATGCAGATTAATTGGGGGTGATATCAATTGTAATAAATTTTTAATATAAAATTTAAATACAATGTATTTTTATTAGAGATTTTTAATGAATTAAAATTAAATTATTTTGTGGTAAAATTTAGAAGTCATAAATTTATAACAGACTACAAATCATTACTCTAATTAAAAATATTCAAATCACTTTCTGGATCTTTATGCGAACTCTAATTTTCTCCACGCGTGATCCTAAAAAGATTAAATTCAAACAATTCTCCTTGTCCAACGAACGTAGCACAAATACTGCGTTTAAGATTGAACTTTCCATTGGGACAATTGATTGTGTAATCTCATTAAAGAATGGAAATTCGAACGTCTTTTAGAAGAGCACTCGTCCGCGTCGTAAGGCTTGCACAAAACGTAATGCACCAAAGAGATAAGAAAATGGGAGAAAGCTCGGGAGAACAAGATGGTAAACATGCAAGAGAACGAAAGAAATGTAGTTGGAAGAAACTAGTCCACTCGGGTTTGTAGCTCGAACAACTTGGGAGAGACGAATGCGTTATACTCATGAGCATTGTCTACTGGATGGACAGCGACGTTTCTAATTGTACTTTTGGGTGCAAGAATTGCACCGAGTCACCGAGATTCTTTTTCGCGCAGGTGCCCCAATAAATTCTCCGCTGCTGCCAGCATGCTCTTCGTGAAAATTTCGCTGGTCTGCTCTTAAAAGTGAGTTTTTCGAGTGGATAGCTCCGGGCCTAACTACAGTCACTCGCATGAATATTGGGACACCGTTTAAAACAGAACAATGTCTTTCGAATTGAACGATACGACTTGAATCTTTTCGAAATATCTTCTACTAATTTTTTTTTTAATGTTTCCGGAAATAGTTCACTGTACAATGACTGAAATACTCTTTTTTTTTTAATTTTCCTATCACTTGAAATGACAGGAAAAATAAAATCTCTCGTTTTCTAACTTTTTAGATATCAAAATTAGATGTAAGAGACGTTATTATGAATAGACTGCGGACAATTATGCAAAGTAAAAATATTCTTCATCGACTACATAAAATCAAAGCTAGAGAAAAGTGTATTTCTTTTTCTAATGACATTAACATAATAAAAATAATCAAAGAGCATTTTTAAATACGTATTATATCTTTATTGTTCCGTGCTCCGTTCATTCATTTTTTTTTTTATAAATGCATAAAATCCGCATTCTAGTTATGAATTACAAACAATTAATGATCGCAAAAATCACAATATTTTAAAGATTTCAACCAAAAAACAGGTAAGTTTAGCACGTTTCAATGGTTGTAGCATGACTATGCGACGACTTATTTCAATGAAATTAATACAAGTTACTTAGATCTACAAAACCTTCCAGGTTCAAACAGAAAAGTTAAAAGACTACAGGTTTTAATGTTTTTTTGCCACTCCAAGTAATAGTAAAATTTAGAAAAAAAAGTATTTTTGTCATTGTACAGTAAACTATGCTGTCGCCTAGTTAAGTCTGAAAAAGGTTATGATGCACTAACTACATAAAATGACAAAATAAAAAACAAATATGTAAATATAACCGTACGTTTTCTAGGTGCGAATACCTCGCCGTGCGTCTGGACTACAAATTGAAAGGGTTAATAGCGAAGCAAACGGGCGTTGCAGTATTTCCTGGACGCTGTTTATCAGCGTGGCGATTACAAAGGATCATCGACGGAACTCCCAGCGGCAATTGTCCGACGCAGAAGCGGCGCGGCTGGTTTGCGACGCGGGATGGAAAATATAGGAAATTGCACTTGCACTGGAACGAGGAGTGTAATTTACAACGGGTGCCGGGGGTAGCCGAGGCCACTGTAGGCTAGACGATCCCTATGAGCGCGGGCCCCGGATGGCCTTGGATTTTCAACTTGAGAATCTCTACGCCTACAGCGACACAAGTAGCGCTCGGAGAAGAGGCGGCAGGGTGAAAAAAAAAGAGGAGGAAGCGAATGTGTTTTCAAAGCCCTCTGGCACGTCCAGGAAACAAAGGAAGTTTTTTCGGGAGGTCGAAGAGCGAATAAGGTAAAAGATGTGTTTCACTCTGTCGCCATTATGAGCGGCTAATTGCCTCCGAAGTAATTAATCCTATCCTGGAACTCGGCGCGAAAATATCGGACCTCGGGTGAAACGCTAAAGCGAGGGAAACGTTGGATTCGGAATCCGAACGCGCTGAAACTTATCGAATCTGATCTTAACCGATCGAAACGTGTTACTTTTTAATAGCGGGTCAAACTCTTCTTCAGATTTTCTGAATTTATAACAATAATTAATAGATTCTATTTCGAGCAGTAGACAAATTCATGTAATTGAAAAGTATCAACATACAGTTTGCAACTTATTAAAATTTTAAGTAAGAATTGAATGTGTATCTGGGGCAAATATCGCTTGCATAAAAATGATTATTCTAATTATGATCTCAAAATTAAAGACAGTTTAGAGTGATCGAAATTATATGCAGGTAGAAATGTTCGACGATCAATCTAAATAAATAGAATTGTAAACGATTTTTGTTTGTAATAAATAGACTGAGTAAATAGATTTGTCTTAAATAATTTCAATAAGATTAATTTATTACATTGACACTCTTCAATTCTTTTAGTATTCCTACTGTTTCCAATTATGTACACCTCTCAGTTGTTGTTATAAATCTATAAAATCCGCAGTCCAGTAATAAAATTCAATATGCGATTACCATGTAGCTTGTGTTAGAACGAAATACTAATGAATAATCTCTACGGTCATTATTCGAAATAATTCATACCATCAGGAACATAACGGAGGATTAGTTTTGTTTAAATTGTCAATTTACATGGAACCTAGCTTCTCTAAATTCTCATTATTTTGTAATGAAGCATTAATAATTGCGCATTGCAAATACACATTTGGCAGTACTATAATTAAACAAAGCTGTATTCTTCGTAAAGTGATTTATGAGATCTAACTCAATTAGTATTATAAATATGTACATCTATAAATCAATCAACGATTGTCCAACGATTTTTGTACTTTTCAGATAAGAGCTCTGCAATTTATATCTAATAATGAATAATTCCCCTAAGAGAGTCTGGAAGTATAAAAATAGAACTCACCTAGGGTATGTCGCCAGTACTGGAAGCTCTCGTAGTCCTCGTCACTGGTCCCTGTCTGTTCTGATCCGACCGAGGGGTGCAGTAGATAATTTTCCGGAAAGCTTTCCGGAAACTGTCGCTGAGGAAGGCGTAGAGGAAGGGGTTGATGCAGCTGTTCATGTAGGCCAGAATGTGGCTTCCTATTTGCACCATTATCGTCGCCGGTGTCAACGGGTACACGTTTAATGATTTAGTCACCAGGATCACCTTTTGCAAAACACCAAAAGCATCGAATTAATTAACATCCTCGGACACGAAATGTCAGAATCATAATTTGTTACATCGTTCAATCTTTCTCGAGTGCGAAATAGATATACAGCTTAACCCTTTACACTCGAAACCTAACTCTAAAGTCGCGAAGTCGAAATAGTTTCTCTGACTTATGGTATTTTCATTTTATACGACTTAGCGATACAGTCAATTTATGAAATCGAGTTTGGCGACTTATACAACGATTACATTTTCAATAGCTTTTTAACTATAAATTTAACAATGTGTAAATTATTTTGGAACGCGACGTAACAAGTTTTAGTGTTGTTAATTGTTACTTGAGAACTATCGAACAGTCAAAGTGACTAGCTTGTCTTATCTTTTAATAGCAACCACATTCATTGACACATTGCATTTATTGTTACAAAATTATCCAGAATAATTAAATGTGACCAGCAACAGCCATAAAGTCATCGGTACAATGTTAATAATTATAAAACAAAGAATCCAGCGTCGGTTTCAGAAACTTCTCAACGTGTTCTCTATTTTTTTTCCAGTCCAGCAAAATGTTCTTCGATACTCTCCGACGAAACGTCAAACTCGCTCTCCTCTATTTGCATAATTTTAAAACAGCCAAGTATTTCCCGATAATCGTGCTTGAATGATGCGTTTAACTCGAGTACCTCTGCATCGGCGCAGACAGAAATTAAAACACTGGAATTACTGATTAATTATGGATGAAAAATTTGACTGACACCGTTCCTCACGGGCTTCATCTGTGATCGATTATTGTAAAAGCGACGTCAGAGATCTGTTTCCGAATGAAAGCGGACGCGACGGCATACGCGAGTGCAGAATTTCATTCGATTAGGACAATTCTTCGTCCAACCAATTCCGATAAATGTGCCCATCAATTACACTCCGGTTTCATTAGATCGCTGTCGGAAACCAGGGGAAAGGTTGCACTCAGCAATATTCGCGACGTCCTCGTCCGACAACGATTGGATCATTTAACGACGCGACGAGAGACGAATCGTGATGTACAAAATCTTACTTTCCGTCGCAATAAACCGGGCAATTTCTTATCTCGTTCCCAGAGACAAACATCTCATCGAGACGACTCAATAAACCTCGTTTCCCTGGTGTTCGCTCGCGATCGCCGTACACTCGCCGTCGTTCCAGCAAGAAAACCGCGCGAACAGCGTGCAAATATTCGCCGCGCTCATCCCCCGGAACAAAAGGACAAAAAGTTGCATTAATCCAAATGGTCCAGACACAGGATTGCGTGCGGCAACACATTTTTTTCTGCGCCACTACTCCGCCGTTTCGACACTTCACCTTCCATTATCGCACGCCAGCTCTCACGGCCGCAACAATGCGTCCGGAATCACGGATTCAATATTTCTTCGCGAGAAGTTCGCGCGCGAACGCACGATGTTCGAGTCAAAAATTCGAAGCGTAAGGTAGGTTTCGCGTAACGAAATTAATATTATGGCGAAATGTATCGGCTTCTTCGGATAGTAATTTCTTTCTTTCACGAGAAAATGATGGACGGTTTTTTAACGTGAAAAGTAAATATTATTAAACACAATTTTTGTCTTGATGTTATTCTAGATGAACGAAAGCTACTGTATTGAATACAGATCACCATTTCTATTATTTTTACCTATAATTTAAAAATATACATCATATGAAGAATTTAATTACGTTACAGAATAACTCACGATTCTTCGATAATACAACAGACACAATACATTTAGTCTAACGACAAATACAATTACAAATACAGATGATATTACTCATTGATAGATTCGTATCTTTATGCATTCATGGCATGTGGAGATTTCAAAAATGCAACGTATAAATTAATAAAGCCTACAAGTATTTTTCTTTTCTTTTCACAACGAGCCATTCTTTAAGAAAACTTTTCTTTAGTTTGAATTTTAGTTAAACAACGCAAAGAAGTGAGAATTCGCATAAAGAATCGCAGTCTGCTCGTGCAATATCCATCAAAGTTGAATCGAAGTGAAGAACGATTTGGGAAGCAACTGGACGCGTTTCAGCAATGGGAAACAGCCTTTACAAATATTTTCAAATGACATTGCAACATTTAAAATGTGCGCTAAGCTGTTCGTATAAAGGATCATTATTTGTGCAGCGATCGCAATTACCAGTGAACCGCGGTTAATTACTGAATCTCGCCGTACCATTTCCTTGCCGCAATTTATCTTCCGTCTCCATTAACACGAATAGGGGTCGCAGTTAATTGCTATTGCATCGGTATCGTCCGCAAAATTTTTCCAGCGCGGTGCCTTCCCCGAAATGTTCCGAACAGAGGGACACATTTCAATCCCCAAGCGGCAGTTCTCAATGGGCTCTGCAGCGGTTTGCGTGACACCGAGCCCGCGATAACTCCGACAGATTATTGTGTACATCGTCGAGGACTTAATCCTATTTGCGCGTCACCATGCAATCAGAACGCATCGCGGAACGTTCTTGCAAATCGTACGGGGTCGGCCCGATGCACCGTGGAAAAACAACTATCGTCGACACGTACAATCGGCGCACTTACAATTGCGATCGTTGAAATCGCTTTCGAAAGCGGATGAATGTTACAGTACGTGTCTAACATCAAAAAAATCTGGTAGGATTTTTCGAAATAGGCTTTCGCGTGTTTGAGATACTGCGATTCAGTACGCAACCATGTACGTAGATTATAGAGGATGTTTATTCGAAAACTTTGAATCTCAATATTTCGAGAACGACGCATTTTTGGGGAAAATATAACTACTTATTAGGATTTTATTATATTATTATTATATTTTTTTATAGTGGATAAGTACTATAACTTTCCCCCAGTCTCGTTTTAAAAGCGATTTCTGTGATCGTACGTTCCCTTGTTAGTATCGTAACTTTTTTTCATTTCACCGCCGGTTTTCATTTCCGCCTATTCCAGATTGCATCGGATTGCACTTTTCACCTATGCTTGTGTATCATAAAGCCATTTGTTGCACGCTGTTGCACCCATTCAGCGGTTCGTAATTTGTTAAAGAGCCGCTGGAACGCGTGGACGATGTTTGAAATCACGTAACACGTGCGCTAGATGGTGACGTTAAAAGGCTGGAAATATCGCTTGGGCTTTTATAACTGAAACCTCAGTGATTACTTTTCTCGTGCACATTTTTCTCTTCTTTTTTTTGTGAAGGAGACACGATTCTGTAACGAGATAATTGAAACTCAAAGACTTCGGTAGAAGATTAAATAGCTCCCGCTGTTACAAGAGGATAAAATAATGTAAGCACCTCGAGGTTATTTTTAAAAAGAGATTCTACTGCGGTAAAGGAGATTGAAGTGTTTGGTAGAATTTCTCTAATAATTGGACTGCGTAATTTGGATGAAAATTGTAATGAAAATAATAAAAGGATTTTGGGACATCTGTGTATTATTTTAGACTTATTGAAATTATTTAACAACGAAGAAACGTCTACTTGACTCACATTTGTTAAAATAGGAGTAAAAAAAGAAAGAAAGCACTTCTTAACATTTTTCTGGTAACTTTGAAATCTTTTGAATACGTTTGCACGACGAACATTTTTTGAAAAACGAAACGACTTTACTGAAGACCGAATAGTTTCCTATTATTTTAAATAATGGCGAGAATAAGGTAACATTGTGTTTAAACAAGGAAAATAGCTTGCGAGACTATAATAAATATTTCATATAAGCATCCAAGTTTTACGAGAATGGGTCACATGAATGGGAATGCCTAAAAATCTCGGCTGTATACGTGTACGTAGGGAAACTGGTTGAAACAAAGTCGAACTTTCCGAGGGGATGGACAAAAACAGAAATATCGTCAGGAAAACTTTAACTCGCCACTGGCAAGGAGAACGCCGACACGTGGCCTACATTCACGAACAACAAAATTTTAATATCTCCTTCGGAACAGCGCGGAGTTCGTTAAATACATTAAAATAAACAACTGCTTAAAAATATTTTGCCAGCTATGAATAACAAGAATATTTAAATCTTCTCACTTGCGTGTACATCCCGTATTTTATGCTAAATTCGTTATCGTCCCCCATTTCAGCTGCATCCATTAAATGCAACCGTAAAAGCATTTTTTATTATATTAGGTCGGAGCGTATGCAATGTCGGATTTTTATGACATAAATATTTTTAGCAAAACAAATTTTTTCAATTCTGTACTTTTGATAATTGTTTCGAGTTACATAATAGATTGCGGATTTGATGCATTTGTGACAAAGAAGAATTTAAAAACCCCAATGTATATTTTTGATCTATGTAAATGATTGAAGCAAGGACGAACATGTTATTTAGTTTCTATATCTTATAGTTGATGTAATTTCTATTTTGCACGAAAATTCGCAGTCTAATTTGTCTATGAGAAAACAGAGTTTCCAAATTAATTAAAGTATGAAATTTTGCAACATTCCATCCTCTTCACCCGTTCCATCATCAATAGATGTTAATTTTTTTAACCACAAAGATATTAAAATATTAAAATATATTAAGATTTTAATATAATAAGTATTAATAGTAATATAAAATAAAATAGTAATATAATAAATATATAATAGTAAATAAAATAAGAATAGTAATATAATAGTAATATAAAAGTATTAATATCTCCATAGCCGAGTTTATTCGTTCAAAAGACTGGTACATCTTCAAAAATGGCATTTATATATTAAAATCTGGTTGGCAAAAATATATTGAATATAATAAATTTGCTTATACTCGAAATAGTATTTTTTGTCACAGTTTGTCTTGTTAATCTCGCGATGGCGAACGTAAAATTAACTTCCTGCCGCATAGTATGAAGCGGAACAGGTTGCGAGGACATTAAAGGGGATTTAACGTGTGAATATTTCAGTCCACGTCAATTCAAGGGGTAGTACTATTCTCTGCTGATGAACGTTATCCTTATGCAACCGACTCTTGCGACCTTAATCGCGAAATAAATTATAAGGCAATATAATTTCGCTTTTCACGCGAAATATGATCTCGACGTGCGTGTAACGCTGACAGTGAATGAATATTCACATGTAGTATAATAGCAGAATTATTCAAGATCATTGCGTTACATTATTCACTCTGTACAGTATTTACCAAGTATACGTAAGTGGTGCACTTATCATAGAAACTGCGTCGCTTTAAAAGTATCAGATTCTACTCTCACAGACTAGCGACGATTTATGTTTAGTGCTAAACTGTTCCATCTATTCATGTGGTACTGCTAAAAGACAATGTTAGATCACAAACTGAGATATAGTTTACATATTATGTAAGATATATTTTCTGTTAAAGCTTCGTAATCGTGTAAACGAAGCACGTCCATCTTAACACTTTGACTGCCGCGTCACCCATATTTGGGTCAGATTTAAAAACTAATTTTTACGGTAATATATTATATCTGATATATAATGTATCATTATTTTAGCTTAATTTTAATATAATTTTTCCCTACTTTCGTTAGGACCATAAAAAGGTTAGAATATTCAAAAAAATAATCGGTATCGTACGAGTTTTCAATTTTACTTTGATTACATGAGCTGGGTAAGATCAGGGCTGGGTAAAATAGTATTCTAAATGGCAAATAGTGGGAAAAGAAGTAGGGAAAGTATTCTATTCTATGCTTTATGTTCACGAAATAAAAAATATTTTATTTTATGTTTTAGATTATCAAAATAAGATATTTATTTTTCATGCAATAGATCGGTGCTCGGAATGCTTCGGAACGCAACATTAGGCTCCGCCTCCTGACAACCGCCGCAGCGTCTCGCTCCCCGCGTTGCTTCCATCTGCTCACAGTCGATTGAAGCAACGCGGAGAGCGAGGCGTTGCGGC